AATTTCTTAAATCTTTTGTCTTCCATTTAGTTTTAGAAGCAACCCCTAATTTTACCATTGCATGAATTCACTAGGCAAAGTACAGATGTTCTTGAAATATGGCCCTTAAAACAAAGCACTCAGGAAAAGATACTCTCGATCATTAGCCATCACAGAGATGCAAATCAAAACCATGATGATACCAAACACCTTGCGGGACCATGTTGCTGAGGCTGAGGGCTAGGGACCATGGTCTCGGGGGACATTAAGGTCAATTGGCATAATGTAGTTCATAAAGAAAATGATCTACATTCTACTTTGGTGAATAGCGTCTGGGGTCTTAAAAGCTTGTGGGCGGCCATCTAAGATACAACTATTGGTCTCATCCCATCTGGAGCAAAGGAGAATGAAGAAAACCAAAGACTCAAGGAAGCAATTAGTCCAAAGGACTAACGGACCACATGAACCACAGCCACCACTAGCCTGAGACCAGAACTAGATGGTGTCTGGCTACCACCACCGACCGCTCTGGCTGGGATCACAACAGAGGGTCCCAGACAGAGCGGAGAGAAATGTAGAACAAAATTCAAATTCACAAAAAAGACCAGACTTACTATCTGACTGAGACTGGAGGAACCCCTAAGACTACGGCCCACGGACACCTTTCTAACTCAGAACTGAAGCCACTCCCAAGGTTCACCTTTTAGTTAACTATTAGACAGGTCTATAAAACAGTAACACACGTGAGGAACATGCTCCTTAGAACAGTCAAGTATACAATACAAAGTGGGTAACACCTGCCCAAAATCAGAGGCGGCGGCAGGAAGGGGTAGGAAAATTGGACAAACAGGAAACGCGGAACCCGGGGTGAAAAGGGGGAGAGTGCTGACACGTTACAATCAATGTCACGAAACAATGTGTATAAATTATTGAATGGAAAGCTAATTTGCTCTGTAGACTTTCACCTGAAGCACAATAAAATGTTGCAAAAAAACCCAAACCAAGACAAAAACCAAAGCACTCAGAACAATTGCTTTCGTTTTAGAACAAGCCTTAGGCTGCTAGCCTCTTATCATCTGCCTTTGTTCACATGTAGGAATTTTAGATTCAGATCTCAAATCAGTATGGATATTGAAGTGTTGTATCAATGTTTCTTTTACAACAGGTGTTTTCATTCATGGATTGTTTCTGGATGGCGCTTCCTGGAATAGAAAGATCAAGAAACTTGCAGAATCCCATCCCAAAATTCTTTATGATACAGTGCCTGTGGTTAGTATTTTCTAATAATATATACATAGGGTTGAGGGAAGCTATAGTACACAAACACACACGTTCCATGTATATACGTAATTGACCTAAAGATGTGAAACTTAAAGATAGAAAGATTTCCTATATGAAAATCATCTGCCTAAAAAGTTACTTTTTCTAGGCACCTATCTTCAGCATGGGCAGATTGAATTATATAAATATAATTTAAGTTTCCACCTGTTAAACTCCATCATGAGAAAAATGGCTGCACGTTTTCACTCAGTTTGAAAGGTAGGTCTGGGATGGTGTGATAAAATACAGGCTATGGGATTTACATGAGTTGTTTGGGGGCTGTGGAAGCAGCTCAAAGACAGGCAAAATTCCTTCAGAGCAGCTGTAACAGGTACAGTGAGGGGCCAGGTGATTGCCAGTTGGGAGAAACCTACTACACATACTAAGATACTGTGAGCAGAAGTTTCAAATCTAAGACCTAAATTGAAAGTCACAAGGGCAAATGTTTGCAATTGCAGGAGTTTGGGATTGGGTAATTTTTCATGTGGGAACTTACAGTGAGTGGCAGCAAGCAATTGTTTATAAATGCGTAATGATTCTTCTGAATAAGTCCACTAGTAAGAAAAAAAAAAAATCTCATTAGGAAAATCCATTCTTAGGTTGAGATACATCCAATTTGCGAGTGTTGAGTCCTTTTCTTGTAGCTGTTTATCTGTAAAACGGCTTTGTGGATCCTCCTATGATAAAGACTCTGGATTCTACAATTATGTGGGGACATACAGACCATCTTTATTTGCTCCTTCAGTTTGTTTTGACCTGAGAAATTTAAAAGATGGCTCTGAACAATTGGCTGTCAAACTATCACCTCAAAGATCGCTACTATTACTACAGGAAAAGTAAACTGAATTAAATTCTAAAACAAAGCATTATATTCCATCTTTATGGTTAAAGAGTTGTTCTTTATTCAGAGATCAACTTCCCTCAAAATTCACCCATTTTTGAGATTAGGTGAGGCTCACAAATGAGTTGTACACTTAACATTCTAGGATCTTGGCTAATGACTCTAAAAAGAATATGGCTTAATGGACAAAGGAATGTCCAATTAAATGTCCAGTTAAACAGATAGCACTAATCTACATATTTCCTTTAAAATAGTTGCTTAAAATGGAGGTGGAGTAGGGTGGGGAGTGAAATCTAGTTATATAGCCATTGATAAAAACGCCTTCAGAATTTTTGGGATTGGCCATCAATTTATAAAGCACATACTTTTTAGTAACAATGGCGGCAGTTCTGTCCTTTGACAGTATATCTGACTTTTTTGTTGTTGTTTTAAGTACCATAAGTCATTCCCAGATAAGTATGGTGGCGGTGATGAACAGCTGGGTAATCAGTTTCCTGATAGAGCAGGTGAGAGTGACATAGACTTCTTTTCTCATTTAGTTTCCAAACCAGTTCTGAAAAAAAAAAGATCTGAGCAATGGCAGCACTGCTAAAAGAAATAAAATTTGGGCCACGATATTAACAGACAATTTAACCAATCTTACTCTGATGATATATGAGGCTCAAATGTATGTTAAATATAACAGCCTTGGTTTAAGAGGTTTTGAACATTTTCTTCCAGATGTGGCTAAAGCCCTGTAAGAGGTTAGATATACCAAAACGACCAAGTTATGTTGCTCCATTGTATAAGACAAGTGAGCGGAGAGGAACATTATCCACCACTGGCCATTCTACAAATTTTGTGATCGCCATGACTCTTCCCTCTGACCAACCCAAGGAGCACTGGATTGGACGGGGTGTAGCACTGTTATGTCAACTTAATTCATAATGTCATTTCCCTGTTCCTATTTCTTATTAGATGGTTGAGTAGAAAGTATATTCTACTTTTTAAACAATTTTTTGCTTTAATTCAATTTGACTAGTTATACTTAATTATGAATTTATTTATGTGGAAATGCAGCCTAAATTTTCAATGATTCATACTTCAGTGTAAGTATATGTTCTGAAATAAAGACTAAAGAAAACACACTGGTATATTTGCTCTTTTTGAATAACTTTATTTTGGGAGAGTTCCATAAGCATTAGGAACATACATAAAATGACACACCACTGTTGACAATGAAAAAAAAAAAACAGCATTTGATCATTTCCAGCTTTATAAATTTAAAAAAAATGATTCAGTTACAACAAAAAAGTTTAGATATTTTAGCAAGTATCACCTTGCAGGACCATAATCACATTTAAGCCATTGAGTTACTGGTAATGGAAAAATTCACACTGCATCTAGTTACTACAGTATTTCTAAGCATAATCACAGCTGATTGAATGCAATGTGATATACACCAAAATTCGTATGGATGTCACACAGTGACAGCATTGTACAAGTAACATTAATGACCTCCAACAAACACATGTTAAATTAGACTGGTCAAGCTAAATGGAATGTTGGAGCCAAACAGAAATGTAGTGGAATTCAGATTGTCCAGTAAGACTTGAAACTACACAATAGAATGATGTGAAAACTAAACACTGGTGGAACCCTAACAAAATACTAGCAGCAACCATTACAGCCCACTTAAAAGGTTTAAAAAAAATTTTAGCAAATAAAGATAATACCATTTTTGAGAGAATATAAAATTTGATATACTTCAGCATAACCCGTTTGCTTTAAATCAGGCATTGAAGACTGGGAGTATATTCCAGCTGTTGCTTTTCATAAAAGCTTTTTAAATGAAGCAGATTTAATGCTGGAATGCAGAGTCCTCGTTGGGTGTAAAAACCCCAAAACAAGCTATAAATATATCTGGTTCAGAAAGCAAGACATTTGAATCACTTGAAGTTGGCAGTACTAAATAAAACATGAGCACCTTTTAGGTAGGTTGCTTGAAGTGGCAAGCAATGAGATGAGGACTGTCCTAATTCAGTGCCCAGTGCTGAAAATAACGTATGTATAAAACTCCTATTTGTTACAAGGGGGTCATGAAGAAAGCCAAAAAGAATACTTTTAAATATTAAGCATAAATTAAGGAAATAACACCACCTAAATCCCCTTGCTTACAGCATAAAGAGCACTGGCAATCAATCATCTATTAACACCTGGATGCGTGTGCTGCTCTGAAAGTTTTGATTTTTGTTTTAAAGTTCATGGACTTAAGAGGAAAGGAGGAGGACTAAATGGAAACATTTTAAATGGAATGGAAGAAGTTTGGCTCTTAAATATTTGAACAATAAGATTTTTTAAAGTAGCTATACTGGTTGCCAAGCAGATTAAAACAAAGCTAGCTGCACCATTCAAATACAGTTTACCTGGCATAAATGAAGATCATATGGCACGATACGTAAACAGAAAGCTTACATGCATTTAACTAGCACTACAAATTATTAGGTGAAAATTCAGGATAAACATGGCTTGCACTTCTCACAAATCATTCACAATTATGGTAGGAACACAGGGCACCTAAAAGAGACACTAATCCCTATCAGGCACCAACAGCATATCTTGGCACAAAACGATCAAGTGATTTCAGCTTTGTTATTTAAAGGTATATTCCAAGTCACCTGGTACCATGATCGTCATGGTATCAATGGAGGTTATCCTAGTAATTGTTTTAATTGCCAATTCATATACAGATTATGGACATGGAAAAGTTGGATTTTCTGCTTTACAAACTTACTGCCAGCCACAGTATGTGCTCTTGGTTCCAAAGCCAAACTGGTAAAGCAATGCATACATTCAGAACTGAAATTCCCCAGTCATTTAACTAGTTACAGTTAGTACTGTTAAAGGAGGGAAACTGAATACTTAGACCTTGTTTGGGTTCACCATTTTTTGGATATTTCAGGGGTTACAATTTTAAGGAAAAAACATTTTACCACATGCCCCACTGCCCCACCAAAAGACCCAAACTAAAACAAAATTAAAAAAAAAAAAAAAAAAAAAATCCCAAACACCAAGTATATTAGTACAAAGAACCATTATGAATCTTTCATTAAACTGAAGCTCACACAAACATACAATCACAATTTTCAGTAGTTTAGGCTGCAAGTTCAAACACTGCAAATATATACAAAAATAGTAACTCTAGATTCAAGAATAAGGGCTTTTCCCAATGCTAAATCCATACACTAATGCAGCCTGAGCTTTCCTCTAATTGCTACAGTCTATTTTATGCAATTTCAAACTTATGTCAAGTTGATCCCCATTACCGTTACGTATACGTGTAGCTGAATTAAAGGGCACTACAATTCATTCCTAAGCACAAACAAAAAGTCTGCCCAAAGTCCATTTAAGGTATTTTTTAAAGTTTAAATGATTTTTTTGGTTCACTTTCTATTTCTGCATAGCCACAGAAGTTTCTACTAATAAAGAGATTACTTTAGTGTTTTATATGATTATTTAAAAAAAGAGTCTTAATCAAACCTATATCAACATTGGTTCACAGAGTCCCATTTTCTCCTTTTTTTAATCACAAGCTTTTATGTTTTTAAAAGACCACTTCACTCAGGGAAAACAGTACTGAGCACCAGTCTTTTGTGGTTATGCTCAAATCTGTGGAAGTTGTAAGTAGTGCAAGCCACTGACTTTTCTTTGAGCAATGCGCATACAGTACAAGGAACAGATGCAAAGCTGCATGGCAACACTCTCGTAATCAACAGTGATTACGGGGAATGGTCAAAACTGGATGTCAAACACAATTTTGTCTTCATAGAGGGCAATCACCAGCATGATGGCAAATCCAAGCAGCAATCCTAAATTCTGAAGAATGAACTGCCCCACTGGACAAAAGCCATGTTCTTCATTGTCACCATCACCATGCAACATTTCTGGAAGCTGAAAAAGAAACAGAGCTTAATAAACAATTTTATATAATACTTTTGCCGAATATTTTTTAAAAAATACTTTCCTACTTAAGAAAACTAATGACTAAAGTGTAAGTACAAAGAAAATACTGATTTTATTGATCACAATGCTAACCATAAGACATATTTTAGTCAAACACTGAGAAAGAAATTTTATACCCTGCCTGTGTATGAATACTGAATCTGCTCCCTTCCTGCCTCCCAGGAAACACACGAAATATATGTATTAGTCATTTTTATCAGTTAAATTCCACTGACATTATTAAATCTGACATTTTACTTCATGCTAAAGTATAACACAACTTATTATTGCCAATAAAACTCTCAGAAAAGATCACCACGATTCTCACATTTATTGATAGATATTAAACTTTCTGAGAAAGTAAGATTCCTTTTGGGGATACCTAATTCAAAACTGGATTATTACTTTACTCTTTTCCATTTGAAATTCTCATTTCCAACTGCATATGAGAGCAAGGATAGGCATTTTAGAGACAATTCCACATTGGCATCACTATGCCTTTAAGCCATTGCTTTCCTTCCAAGATAGAAAATAGCATATCAAAGCTATCCAAAATAACTGGCACCAAGTCATGCTGTGACACTGCCCTCACAGTGTACTCTATTCTCTTAATACTGATAAAGCTCAAAATATTAAAAAATTTTCAATTCTTTAAAGGCATAGGGCTTTGAAAGGTTTAATGATCGTTTTAACCCCTAAAGCATAAGAAATGCTATGTAAAATCATGTTAAGAGTAAGCCACAGATTCAAACTACAAAAAATTAGATCATTATCTAAATAACTAAGATGTACTAAGGATGAAATGCATTTGCATTATTATAAGCATAAATTTTTTCCACTCAAACCTAATCAAAATTGTGAAAGAACTGCCACTTCCAGTTTTCACTTTCATATTTCTGCAAAAATCAAGTTTGCAATCACTATCTACAAAAATGACACTGATTTGCTACTCTCTTAGACACTAAGCTTTACTCCAAACAGCACCTTAGTGCTTTTGGATTTAGAGAGGAGAAATGTAGTGTTAAGTCTATAATGCCTGCCTAGGAAGAAACACCATTACTCAAGTTGTTAAATAATGAGCACAATTAATCCAACCAGCATGCTCTGCTGAACAGTGCTGAAGTATATTCAACAATCTCCTGAGTGTCATATTTATAAGAATTACTACATGCTGGTCATTTACTTTGTTTAAAAGTCTATGCAAGTGGTGTATAATGACTTATTATACGTGTATGAGGCCACTACTCCTGTCAAAAGTTTTCACTAAATTACTTTATCAAATCAACTAATGGTCTATGACAGGGGTTGGCAAAACATGCCAAATCCAGCAGCCTATTCACTTCCTAACAGGTGTAGTATTTATTTCTTTGCCATAAAGCAAGCTCAAAGAATTATTCTGTTAACAACTACAAACACCTCCAAACCAATATTACAAAATCCACATAGTATAATTCTGTAATTTTATCTCTAAAAACTATTGATGATGATTTTAGATGTTAATATCACTTGGTCAGAAATTTTCAGTATTTCAACTGGCTTCCGAAGAAGGAATCCTTCCATTTAAATGTCTTTTCTTCGTAGATTATTTAGGATATCGTTTTAAAATGGGTTATATTTTTTAATATAGCATGGCTTCCAAATCACTTCCAAAGATTTCTTCCATTTTTGGAAGTTGTATTTTATTTGCGGATTTAGTCCACAACAAAAATATAAAACATCTTACCATATCCACCAAGGCTACATAGAGGAACATGCCTGCTGTGATTGCAAAGATCCAAAGTGTGATATTATTGGCATACTGCCCAACAGCTGTGCCTATCAGCATGCCTATGTAAGCCATCATGGCAGAGAGGAGGTTGTACACAATTGCTTGTTTTACAGTCATGCCTGCTTTAAGAAGAACTGCAAAATCACCTGCAATGAAGACGTAAATGGGAAAGTTTTAAAACCACACAATTTAAAACATAAATTTGAATGGAGATAACCAATAAAAAACAATATTAAAAATGATGTAAAAAGATACATCTTTAATAACTAATGTTACATAAAATTTATTTTTGTTTATTAAATTAAACCTTAACATATGCAAAATATTGGATGGATTTCAAAAACACTGCTGAAAGAAGACAGACACAATACGATTTGATTTATATGGCATTCTCAAAAAGACAAAAAACTACAGTGATGGAGAACATGTCAGTGGTTGCCAGAAGTAAGGATGGGGAAGGATGTAACTACAAAGGAATAGCAATGTGGAAGTAAGATATTGGCACACTGCATTATTTATCCCTGTTCCAACAAATAACTACAAACTACGTGTTAGCCGCCGTCGAGTCGGTTCTGACTCACAGTGACCCTATGTGCAACAGAATGTCATTGCTAAGTTTGAGCCCACTGTTGCAGCCACTGTGTCAATCCATCTTGTTGAAGGTCTTCCTTTCTCGCTGACCCTCTACTTTACCAGGCATGATGCCCTTCTCCAGAGACTGGTCCCTCCCGACAACAGGCTCAAAGTACGAGAAAGGAAGTCTCACCATCCTCCTTCTAAGGAGCATTCTGGCTGTACTTCTTCCAAGATACATTTGTTCATTCGTCTGGCAGTTCATGGTATATTCAATGTTCTTTACCAATGCCATAATTCAAATGTATCAATTCTTCTTTGGTCTTCCTTATTCACTGTCCAGTTTTCACATCCAAGAGGTGACTGAAAATACCATGGCTTGGGTCAGGCGCACCTTAGTCCTTAAAGTGACATTTTTGCTTTTTAACACTTTAAAGAGGTCTTTGGCAGCAGATTTGCCTAATGCAATACATCGTTTCATTTCTTGACTGCTGCATCCATGGGTGTTGACTGTGGATTCAAATAAAATGAAATCCTTGACAACGTCAATATTTTCTCTGTTTATCATGATGCTGCTTACTGGTCCAGTTGTGAGGATTTTTGTTTTATGCTGAGGTGTAATCCATACTGAAGGCTGTAGTCTTTCATCTTCATCAGTGTCTCAAGGCCTCTTCACTTTCAGCAAGCAAGGTTGTGTCATCCGCATATTGCAGGTTGTTACTGAGTCTTCCTCCAATCCTGATGCCACATTCTTTTTCATATAGTCGTTTCTCAGATTATTTGCTCAGCATACAGCATGAATAAATATGGTGAAAAGATACAACCCTGACACACACCTTTCCTAATTTTAAACCACGCAGTAGTAGCCCCTTGTTCTGTTCAAACAACTGCCGCTTGGTCTATGTACAGGTTCCTCATAAGCACAATTAAGTGTTCTGGAATTCCCATTCTTTGCAATGTTATCCATATGTTATGATTCACACAGTGCCTTTGCAGTCAAGAAAACACAGGTAAGTATCTTTCTGGTATTCTCCGCTTTCAGCCAAGATCCATCTGACATCAGCAGTGATATCCCTCATTCCATATCCTCTTCTGAATCCGGCTTGAATTTCTGGCAGTGCCCTGTCAATGTACTGCTGCAACCATTTTTGAATTATCTTCAGCAAAATTTTACTTGCGTGTGACATTAATGATACTGTTAGATAATTGTCAAGTTCTGTTGGATCACCTTTCTTGGAGTGGGCACAAATATAGATCTCTTCCATTTGGTTGGCCACGTAGGTGTCTTCCAAATTTCTTCGCATAGAAGAGTGACGGCATCCAGCGTTGCAACCATTTGCTGAAACACCCCGACTGCTATTCTGTCAATTCCTGGAGCCTTGTTTTTCTCCAATGCTTTCAGCGCAGCTTGGATTTCTTCCTTCAATACTATCGGTTCTTGATCATATGCTACCTTCTGAAATGCCTGAATGTCGACCAATTCTTTTTGGTACAGTGACTCTGTGTATTCCATGTTCTTTTGAAGCTTCCTATGTCATTCAAACTACATACTGCAGCATTATTTGGAAAAGCTACTACTACTAAGGAGATTATCTAACAATGGTTTCTAAGTTGCCATTCTCCAGTGTCTAATGGTATTATCCTTACATCTTTTTCCCTCTTGATGTAAAATACCTTAATTCTCCTACTGAGACTTGGATTCTGTATCACCTTTTATCTCTCTTCTCCCCTAGAATTTTGTTTAATTTCCTCTGGTCTGCCCTTCTCAGCTTTCTCTAGGGAAAGAGCTTCTTAATTTCTTCCTCTGTAAATCTGCCCTCCTATTTTCAATAACTAATCCACCAACAGTGCTAAACAGGTGCTTTGATTTAGCACAAAATGAGAGTACAGAAGTGTAGAAACCAAACAACAAGAATTAACTAATCAAGTTTCAAGATTATTTTTATTTAATATTTTTTAAAATTGAGGTTTAACTTACATATACCACTCATTTACTCATTTTTTTTTGATGCAGAGTCCTACAAATTTTGACAAAAGCACACCCCATGTAACCATAACCACCATGAAACTCTAGAACTATTCCATTATCCAAAAAAACTTTCCCAGGCCTATCATCCCCAGGCAACTAGTGGTCTGTTTTCTGTCCCTGTAATTCTGCCTTTTAATCTATCTTTTTTCACTTAATATGATGTATGTAAGATTAATCTATTTTAATGGTTATATCAGAAATCACTCCTTTCTACTGTTAATATTCCACAGATTAACCAGTTTATTTACCCATTCACCAGCTGAAGGACATTCTGGTTGTTTGCAGTTTTTGGAAATTATGAATAAAGCCACTATACACATTCATAATCAGGTTTTTGTGTCAACGTAAGTTTTAATTTCTCTTGGGTAAATACCTATGAGTGGGATTGCAGAACCATACAATAAGTGTTGCCCACTTTTTGTTGTTGTTTTTTGTTTTCTTACTATTGATTTTGAGAATGCTTTAAGTATTTTGGATTAAAAGCATTTTGTCAGATAAGTGTTCTGCAAATATTTTTTCCCAGTCTGTAGTTTATCTTTTCATGACCAGTTTTTAATTTTTATGAGGTCCATTTTATTATTTTTTTCCTTTGTGGATCACATTTTTGGTGTTGTATCTAAGAACTCTTTGCCTACTCAAAGGACAGAAAAAATTTTTCCTTCTAGTAGTTTCTTATTTTCAGATTTTCCATTTGTAGGAACGATTTGTATTAATTTATCTATAGTGCAAAGTATGGCTGAAAGGTTTTTTGTCTGCATATACACGTCCAATTGTTCCAGCACCATTTGTTGAAAATAAGTTGCCATATATGTGAGCACTCTATACTCTGTTCCACTGATTCATGTGTCTCTTCTTCCACCAATACCAGCTGTCTTGATTACTGTGGCTTTACAATAAGTCTTAAATCAAGTTTGTTTTCAAAGTTGTACTGGCTATTAGAATTCCTTATTCTTTCTATGCAAAATTTTGAAAACGTTTGTTCTTCTCTACAAAAAATCCTGCTGGGATTTTGACTGAGATTTCACTGAATCTATATGGAGAACTGATATCTTAACAACACTATGCCTTCCCATCCATGAACATAGTGTATTCTTCATTTATTTAAGTCTCCTTTGATTTATTTTATTGATTTGCAGTTGTAAGCATACAGATTCTACACTTATTTTATTAGATTTAACCTAAGTATTTCAAACTTGGTGTTTTTGCAAATAAAAAAAAAAATCTGTTGCTGTTGAGTCGATTCTGACTCATAGTGACCGTACAGGACAGAGTAGAACTGCCCCACAGGGTTTCCAAGGAACTGCTGGTGTTTTTGAATTGCCAACCTTTTGGTTAGCAGCCGAGCACTTAACCACTGCGCCACTGGGGCGTCAAATTAATGTGATCCAATGCTATAGTTGTGTTACCATCTGCTAACATCAACTATTGAAACTATTTTTAACAAGTATATATTTAAGGTTCTTCTAGCCTTAAATAATTATGTATATAGACAAAACTTTATATAAATCTACACAGTGGATGTGTTAAATTTTCCCTGGACCATTTACTGCATTATAGAAATTTTATTTTGAATTTCTATCTAGCACAATACACCTCAACAGAAAAATGGACAGCATTTTAGCCTCCCTGAGCCGGGTTTACATTTATTTATGAGATACATATATTCATAAAAATGTTATCTCCTTATAATTGAAACACATTACTCAGTGTTAATGAGAGATTTTTGGATTATCTGACCTTCTGGATTCTGAGCCCCATTTCCCCTTTATTTGTCTTTCTACAGGCTTTCTTATAAATTATTTCTCAAATGTTTATAGAGTTGCTTATTGAGAGGGGGTGAAAAAAAGTGGAAAGAAAACAACAAAGTAAAATTGTAACTTACTTGTATTCAACTACACATGGTTTGGCAAAAAACAGGAGAGTAATGACTTGATAACTGAGATAATTTCACCTATTACCTTACCCCAGAGTAAACATGAAATAAGATGTGGATCTGCCATTTCCTCAGTTTCAGTTCCTGCATGCGTCTCAGAGTGAACCTCCCTGAACTGTGTATGGTCTAAGGTTTAAAGATGCACGTGTTTTTCATACCACATTCCTAAATACAAACAAAAAACTCACCTAGTACACCATGAGAGAAACAGCAATCTGTTCAAAAGAGGAACCCCAGGATTTGGAATTACTGAGATAGCAGGGCAGTCTTCAATACAATGCAATGTAATTTTCAATATGCTTTTCCCCTTAGGGCCTGACCTTAGTATAAAAGCTTCAGAATAGTTTGAAACATTCATAATCAAAGATATAAGTAGGGCAAAACAGATCTTAGATAAAAAAAAATTATCCTGAAATATTGCTGCTTTGTCAATATCTCACCTATTAAACGGACAGAGGACTTCTCCATATCCATGCCCTATGCTTCCATCTCAGCCTAGAGGGGACTGATTTCCCCCTAAAGGGTCGATTATACCATGCTGGGAAATTGTGGGGAAGAGCATCGATGTCTCTCTCTATTCTGTTCCTCTCCAAGTGAGTGGATAACCTGATCAGACTAGGGGTGTTCCCCTGGCCCTATTTTACCAAAGTGCCCCATTACGGTACCTTAAAGATAAAAACTAGGCTCTACAATCTCTAGTTATGATCAGTAGACCACCTCCCACTTTATTGATGGATACAAGGGCCAGAGCCTTTACTGTTACTTCCAGGGGAGGAAGCTAGGTCATTTCTTTACATTCTCTCTTCCCTGACATGGCAGAATAATCCATGGCCTAGTAGTGTAGCCAGCTACAGCATGGGGCAGCTTATGTTAATTTAACACTAGGCACAGTGGGGAAATACACATTTTCATAAAGTCACATTCCTTTTCCTCAGGCAAAGGTCAGTGTACTTTGGAGTGTTGTTTCCTCTCAGAGGCAGTAACATTGCAACCTCTGGTTTAGGGGTAAAACAGGTAGACATCTGGAGTCTGAGTGTCTCACTGAGGGGTCCTGGCCCAAGCAGAAGCAGAGTTCTCCAATCCAGCTTTTACCCAAGCTCTGCATTGGGTATCAATGCCTTACCTAACCATTACTATATGTAATTCATTTGTTCGACATGTAGCTATCATTCCTTGTATGTCACTTCCTCAATCAGAAACTACAGAGAGATAAGAAGTGGTAGAAAAAGGAACCATCCCTAATCCTCAAAACTTCTTGTTTTCAATTCTGTGCCCAAGTGGATCCTTGGGGGCTAGGGCAATTCAATAAAACCACCCACAATCACAAAGTGGTCTGATATACGCCATTTACAGGGTTAATGGGTGGGGAGTTAGGAAGGGAAGGTGGAAGTTTTCCTAGTATACTGTGTGGGTGTGCATGTGCATTACTATCCAAGTCTATCACTAAGAAAGTTAAAGTGAAACATTAAAAATATGAGGCAATTATCTTACTCATATTTAAAAGCTGGCAGAAAGGCTTGAATTGTATTGCTATAGAATTGGGTTAAAGAAAGTATTTGGCAAGTCAGTATCTTACTAACATTGTAAAGGTAATTCTAAGATAAAACTGAACCAAGAGAACAAAACAGCTAGACTTTAGTTTATAAAACTCTAGTAGTGTCAGAGATAAACATAAACATAACATTAGTTAAAAAAAAAAAAAATTGCACACATCAAAATTACCATTAAAATTTTAAATACCTGCCATATGCCAGGAACTATACTAAGTAGTTAGAGAAGGGTGTAAGATAGAATATCTACACACAAAGAACCTATAGTTTAAGAAATAGGACATCTACAAGGGAAATACACTAAACCAAAAGAAAGTAAGTGATGAAAGTATAGAAGAAGAAATAATCCAAGGCCTGAGGTACTGAGGATGGTACTGAAGTTGGAGAAAATGATTCTTAACACAATAAACTAGGAATAGAGGAGCAGGACAAGCCAAGGAGGATGATGGTATAACCAAAGGAACAGATTCAGGCACACACACTACATGTTTGGTGAACTGTGTTTAGGTGAAATGGAAAACGTGATAGGATATACTGTAGGTCAGGTTGGAAAGGCAGGTTGAGGCCAAACGTAAGCTTTATGTTATATGTAAATGAAGCTATTAGAAGGTTCTGCTTACATAAGGAAGTCACATTTTAGGAAGATATACCTGGTAATAAGGCGTATAAGATGGGCTAGAGCATAATGAACCCAGCGATATAAAGACTATGGAAACTGTCCAAGGAAAAGACAACAGAGGCAATGATGACTTGGTTTAATATCAGGATATATCTTATACTCATGTCACTTTACACTTGCCATGAGCCAGTTTTTGTTTTAAAATCTCTAAAATTTGGATGCATTTACAACTGAAGAAGTCTCAGAATGTGGGAAAAAATTTAAAGTTCTATTTATTACCTAATTCATGTGGCAGTTCATGACAGAAGACAGCTATGGAAGTACTGATGCCTCCAGTCAATCCAGCACTGAAAGCTGCTCCTGGGAAGGAAAAATATCAAGTGGCATTTACTGATTTTCTGTTTTTCCATTTTTAGTAATGATTACAAATTCAGTCTCTTTCATCTATCTAAATTAATTTCATAAGATATTTGTGACTCTATGTTACACACTACAGTTTTTGAACATTATAGCGAGGTATAGTAGGTGTATGACAACCAAAGAAAGAGCTACTCAAAAAAGAATAAAACGAAAAGTAATATTCCCCAATGAATTTATTTGTGTAGCTTTCTAGCTCACTAATAGCTGTTAATAGTAATAGTTTTCAATGCCCTAATCTTAAGTCTTGTGAGTTTATAATTTTGCTCGCTCCTCCATATTTATATTTATAGATACTGAAGTAGCTACTATCCTTCCCCAAACTTTTCTGGGTTTAAGCATAGATGGCACACAATATTATTTGTCTGATGAACTTGGGGATGACATCAGAGGTATAAATGCATCTGATTCAACTACTAACAGAAGGCATATTCTTAGCATTGACAGGCACTGTGGATTCAAAAACACTGTCTCTGTTCTCTGAAAGAAATTAAAGACTGCTTCTAGTGATTAATAGTCTGGATTTCAAAATCATGTATTGATCACATGTAATGTTCTCCTAAACTGGTAACGTAAGTTTACATTAGCAAGATTCCAATAAAATATATTGTAACTTGTTACAAGGGATTTTGAACATTACAGAGTTTTTCATCACCTTTGCAAAAATGGGTAAAACTAAACCCAAGATTAAAATTTATCTGTTCTCACTCAGTGTTGTGTGAATATATTTGAAAATATAAATTTTAAGGTACTCTTTTCACTATGGTGGCACTGTGCTTTGAATAAGAAATTGAGTTATTAAAGAAGCAAATACAGGCATTTGTTTATATGTTCCCAAAAAACCCTGAAATTATACCTTTATGATCCCAAATAAATCTATTAAATTCATTAGCATAGCCTTTAGAAACACCAGGTAAACAGGACTGATGTACGAGAGTTGTTAAACTCCAGACAAATGTTAATCTTATACACTACAGTCGTAAGATTATTGCCAACATAGTGGGAGAAGAAAAACGGTGTTAAAGAACAACAAATCATAACCCAAGTTTCAAGTCCACTTACCAATTGCTAACCCATCGCTGAAGTTGTGGATGCCATCCCCCATGATTACCATCCAAGCTATGTTAGCTATTCCTGTTTCTTTCAGATCTGATCCAGAATGGCAAGGACCGTGTGAATGATGAGAATGTTTGTGGTGCCACTGATGATTATGTTTCCTCAGCACAGTTTTAGTCTCCTCAAGGTGGTTATGTGCAGTAGCATGGAGATCATGCTCGTGAATGATATGTAATCCATCACTGTGAGAATGGGCCATGATCTTCTCTTCTTCTACACAAAGGTAATTTTTAGGAGGGGATTCTTGTTGGCCTTCTAAATCTGTCAGTTCAGTTTCATTAAGTCGATCTTCGGAAACAACTGAGTCATCAGTTCCTATATTTATAGCAAAGGATATGCTTTATCAAGGAGTCAGTGCAAGGACTTTTGCTAATTTAACCCAGGCAGAATAGCAGTGTAATGAACATTTCTTAAGTGAATACCTTTTAAAACTCTTAACTAACATATTTCCCTCAAATTAATTAGAAGCCATTTTAATACAGCAATGTTTTGTGAAGTCCAATAAAAATAAATAAACACATATCCACACATGGAACAAACTCGGGTCTCTGAGGTTCAAAAGATGCTCCAAATGAGATAACCGGGAGGGAAATGACATCAATAGCAGACAAAGTGAGGAGAAACACTGGAAAGCATGAAGGTAGTGTGAAACTTAAGGCGCACATCATGGAACAGTTGATGAAAAGGGTGGAAAGTTACTATAGCATTTACAGGATAACAAAATGAAACCCATTTTTCAGAGGAAGGAGTCTTACAGTTTACCCATTCTAACCTTCAAAGGGCAGCTCGAAAAGACAAAGCATTATAATGAAATGTACAAAGACCTGGAGTTAGAAAACCAAAAGGAAAGAACATACTTGGCATTTCTCAAGCAAAAAAACTGAAAGAAAAATTCAAGCCTTGAGTTGCAGTATTGAAAGATCCTATGGGCAAAATATTGAATGCTGCAGAAAGTAAAAAAAAGAAGATGGAAGGAATACACAGTTGCTGTACCAAAAAGAACTGGCCAATGTTCAGATACTTCAGGATGTAGCATATGATCATAAAACCGATGGTACTGAAGGAAGAAGTCCAAGATGCACTGAAGGCACTGGCGAAAAACAAGACTCCAGGAAGTGACAGAGTACCGAGATGTTTCAACAAACAGATGCAACACTGAAAGCTCCTACTCGTCTTTGCCAAGAAATCTGGAAGGCAGCTACCTGGCCAGTCGACTAGAAGAGATCCTTATTTGTGCCCATTGCAAAGAAAGGTGATCTAACAGAATGCAGAAATTATCTAAAAATATCATTAATATCTCATGTAAGTAAAATTTTGCTGAAGATAATTCAAAAATGGTTGCAGCAGTACTTTGAAAGGGAACTGCCAGAAATTCAAGCCAGATTCAGAAGAGGATATGGAATGAGGGATATCACTGCTAATGTCAGATGGATCTTGGCTGAAAGCAGAGAATACCAGAAACCTGTGTTTTATTGAGTATACAAAGTCATTCGATTATGTGGATCATAACAAATTATGGATAACACTGCAAAGAATGGAAATTCTAGAACACCTAATTGTGGTCATGCAGAACCTACACAGATCAGGAGACAGTTGTTCGAAAACAACAAGGGATAATGCGTGGTTTAAAATCAGGGAAGGTGTGTGTCAGGGTTGTATCCTTTCACCATACTTATTCAATCTGCTGTTGAGCAAATAATCTGAGAAGCTGGACTATACGACTACAGGAAGACTCAATAACAACCTGAGATATGCAGATAACACAACCTTGCTTGATGAAAGTGAAGAGGCCTTGAGGCACTTACTGATGAAGATCAAAGACCACAGCCTTCAGTAAAGATTACACCTCAACATAAAGAGAACAAAAATCCTCATAACTGGGCCAGTAAGCAAAATTAGGATAAACAGAGAAAATACTGAAGTTGTCAAGTATTTCATTTTACTTGGATCCACAATCAACACACGTGCAAGCAGCAGTCGAGAAATCAAATGATGCACTGCACTGGGTAAATCTGCTGCCAAAGCTCTCTTTAAAGTGTTAAAGAGCAAAGAAGTCACCTTGAGGACTAAGGTGCGCCTCACCCAAGCCACAGTATTTTCAACTGCCTCATATGCATGTGAAAGCTGGACAATGAATGTCATGGATTGAACTGTGCCCCCCCAAAATATGTATCAGCTTGGTTAGGCCATGATTCCCAGTATTGTGCAGCTGTCCTCCACTCTGTGATTTTCCTACGTGTTACAAATCGTAATCTCTGCCTGTGGTTAAAGAGGATTAGGGTGGGATGTAACACCCTTGCTCATCCCTGATCCAATGTAAAGAGAGTCTCCCTGGGGTGTGACCGACACCATCTTTTATCTTACAAGAGATAAAAGTAAAGAGAAGCAAGCAGACAGGGGGGCCTCGTACCATCAAGAAAGTAACACTGGAAGCAGAGTGCTTCCTTTGGACCTGGGATTTCTGTGCGGAGAAGCTCCTAGTCCAAGAGAAGATTGATGACAAGGACCTTCCTCCAGAGCCAACAGAGACGGAAAGCCTTCCCCTGGAGCTGATGCCCTGAATTTGGACTTCTAGCCTACTAGACTCAGAAAATAAATTACTCTTTGTTAAAGCCATCTACTTGTGGTATTTCTGTTATAGCAACACTAGATGACTATGACAATGAATAAGAAAGATCAAAGAAGAATTGATGCCTTTGAATTATGGTGTTGGTAAAGAATACTAAATATACCATGGACTGCCAGAAGAATGAACAAATCTGTCTTGTAAGAAATACAGCCAGAACGCTCCTTAGAAGGGAGGATTGCAAGACTTTGTCTCAGGTACTTTGGACATGTTATCAGGAGCGACCCGTCTCTGGAGAAGGATATCATGCTTGGTAGAGGGTCAGTGAAAAAGAGGAAGACCCTCAACGAGATGGACTGACACAGTGGCTGCAACAATGGGCTCAAACATAGCAATAACTGTGAGGGTGGTGAAGGTCCTGGCAGTGTTTTGTTCTGTTGTACACAGGGTGGCTATGAGTCAGAACCAACTGGAGGGCACCTAACAACAACAACCTTCTCATATCATTTCCAAAAACAAAGGCACGTAAAATTTAAATGACTTGTCCAATGTCATACAGTGATCTGATGGCAGAGTTCTCTACATCCCTCAATGCTCAACATATCCTACAATGCTACTCAGAGATCATTGCTAGAATAAAGTTCAGAAGTCCATGTAAGTGAGAAAAACATAGGTATTATTAAAAAAAAAAAAAATTGAGGTTGGCCTCTGACCTAGTTTTCCAAACAAATCTTCCAAAGTTATTTATTATACGACAAGATGACAATATTTCCTAAATTGTATTTTGAGGCAGAGTTCTACAGTAAAGAGTCTAGGCTGCCCCTTTTCAGCATAAAATCATTGGTACACTGACGGGAAGCACAAGTTCATACAGAAAGGGTTGAAAAATGTGGTCAAAAAAACTTTTTCATGTTTTCCTGAAAATTGTAAACTACCTCATTGTACCTATCAGGCAGCAGAATAGATGGATGGATGGGTGGAGATTTTAAGTACAGAGATGTGATAAAAAAAGGCTGATGCTCTTTTTTCCATATGAAATCAGTCACCAGATGGAGGACATTGAGATTTTGCAGCCAAGAAACAAAACTAACACTAATCCACTACTTAGAAACTCTTTTTTCATTCATTCTTTTTCCCCTGTAACGCAGAAGTGCAAAATATTCTTGACCTACAATGTAATTAATTGGTTCTGCATTCCAGCAATAAATAAGGCTGAAATTAAAAAAAACACTAACAAATAAAATTATAACTGAGACACTCATATTTAAGGCAATACAAGTTAGAAACGTTGGTTAGGGAAGCCACAAAGACAAGCAATTTCAAACAACACAGGCAGGGTTTGGAAATAATATTTGAATTTTTATGTTTTCAAAGTTTGTCATTAGTCATAAATGTTGTCTACCGGCAAGAGGCTTGAGCTGAAGCCAGTCAGAATCTGGTGTATTATTTAACTTATGGTCTGAAAGTTTCCTTCCAATAGTTGCTTCTTCTGTGCTCTGCTTCATAAACCATTTCTGTTTTCCCTGAAATAAACATCTGATATTAGTATCAAATCTGTAACCACAATTAGCAAATTGTAACAACACATGAGGGGACAACTGATGTTAACTTATGTAGAAAAGGGGTGAGAACTTTTTAAAAAGTTAATCAAGGGATCTAACCAGATGAAAGGTACAACGAAATTTATAAGGTATTTTTTGGGGGGAGGAATACTTAACTAAATGGTTCAATTCATCTACTTTAAAATTGAGAATAGAATAAATGGTACCATATTATTATAGCTATTCAAATAAAATACATGAAATACATGTATTACATCTCATTAAATAGTGTAAGGAAATAGCAAGTTCCAAAAACTAAAGCTTATTCTTTTGAATGTCAGTCTGTGTTTAATACAATCTCACATTTCCCTGAATGTGGCATAATAAAACCAAAAACCCCACTTCCATCGGGTCAATTCTGACTCATAGTGACCCTAGAAGGCATAATGGAAAAAAGTAAAACGAGTTAGAATCCCAAACTTGCGGCTTATTTCTGAGACTTGGACAAGTTTGTTAACTTTACTGAAAAGCTGTAAAATGAAAATGATAGATTTTTAAGAGGATTAAATGAGGTAATATATGAAAATGGCCTATCACTGTGATTGACTCTTCTTAGTAGCTTTTCAGCAAAGACAAGTTTTCTTTTTTATCATTTGTTAATCAGACAGTGAACGTAATTTAACCTGTCCTCAATTACTAATAAATAGTAATTATTGAGCTTCATTGTTTATGATTAAATTCTTCCTATCTTATCTTTTAACAGTCCAGCTTTCTACTGCTTTCTTCTTTTATCAGTGTACCTACCTCTAATAAATCTCCCAATTTAAATTTCTGCTTCTAATCTATGTTAATTTAAGAAAGCAAATAACCAAGAACGCTAGAGCTGTGTACAAAGAAAAAAATCAGTGTTTCCAAGAGATGCTTGCTAACTGGCCTGGCATTTATTTTATTCTTGTACTTTAAGTGAAAGTTTACAATTCAAGTTAGTCTCTCATACAAAACCTTATACATACATTGTTATATGACTGTAGTTGCTCTTCCTATTACTATGACAGCACACTCCTCCTTTCCACCCCTGATTTCCCATGTCCATTCAACCAGCTCCTGACCCTCTCTGCCTTCTCATCTCACCTCTGGACAGAAGCTGCCCATGTATGTATCTACTTGAGCTAAGAGGCACACTCTTCATGAGTATCATTTTATGTCCCATAGACCAGTCTAATCTTTGTCTAAAGAGTTGGCCTCGGGAATG